ATTGAAAATCTTAACGTTAATGTTCTGTTAACTTAAGATTGGGTTGCCGTCATTGTCGGAACTCTTACTCAAGGAGTTTCAACCCCATACCTCTCGAGGTTGTTCTTACTAAGTCTCTGGCCAGTGGCTTAGTAAACGGATCAGCCAAATTATAGCTTGTTCGTATATACGTAAGTGAAATGATTCCATCCTTAATCAGTTTTCTTACGAACGAATGTCTAAGTCCTATATGTCTGGACTTTCCATTATACACTTTGCTAAATGCTCTTGCCAAAGTGGCCTGACTATCGCAGTGTATCATTACCTTTGAAACATTGTCTTTAGCCAATGGAACTTCCAAAAGAAGATCCCTCAACCACTCTGCCTCTTGACTAGCGGAAGCGAGAGCCACGAATTCTGACTCCATGGTCGAAAGAGTAATGCATGTTTGTTTCTTGCTCTTCCAAGAAATTGCTCCTCCAGCTAGTGTAAATATCCACCCAGTTGTAGATTTGTGATTTCCCACGTCAGAGATCCAACTGGCATCGGTATATCCTTCTAATATAGCAGGAAACCTACCATAATGAAGGCCAAGATCTTTGGTTTTCAACAAATAACCAAATATCCTCGTGATTGCCTTCCAATGTTCATTACTTGGATTACTAGTAAATCTACTCATTTTACTAACTGCAAATGATATATCGGGTCTAGTACATTGCATTAAGTACATAAGACATCCGATCGCACTTGCATATTCTAATTGAGCCACTGCTCTTCCATCATTCTTTTCAAGTTTGATTACATGATCAAATGGAGTAGTTACTTCCTTGAATTTCAGGTGTTTGAACTTATCAAGCATTTTCTCAATATAATGTGTTTGATTAAGTTCATAACCCCCACTATTTTGCTTAACTTTTATTCCTAAAATTGTGTCAACAAGCCCAAGATCTTTCATCTTGAAAGTGGAAGTTAGAAACCTTTTTGTTTCTAAAATTCCATTAAGTCTATTGCTAATTATTAGCATGTCATCAACATAAAGACACAAAAATATTACAGTGTTATTATACACTTTTGTATATAAACACTTGTCACAAGAATTAGGAATAAATCCATTTGACATTATCGTAGAGTCAAACTTTTGATGCCATTGTTTTGGTGCTTGTTTTAAGCCATATAGAGATTTGACAAGTTTGCACACCTTCTGTTCATTTCCAGGAAGGACGTGTCCTTCTGGTTGTTCCATGTAGATTTCCTCATCGAGGTCTCCGTTTAGGAATGCTGTTTTAACATCCATTTGATGAGCAATCAGATCATTTAAAGATGCTAAAGCAAATAACAACCTTATAGTGGTTGTTCTCGCTACAGGTGCATAAGTGTCAAAATAATCTATACCTTCCTTTTGTCTAAATCCTTTTGCCACTAATCTTGCTTTATAAGTGTTTAATGTACCATCACTATGATATTTCTTTTTAAACACCCACTTGCATCCAATGGGTCTTGATCCCTTTGGTAAATCAACAAGTTCCCAAGTGTGGTTGGACATAATTGAATCCATTTCATCTCGGATAGCATCTTTCCAAAAAGAGGAGTCTCTAGAAGCTATTGCTTCCTTATAAGTTTTAGGATCTTCCCCTACTTGAAGAATTACCGGAATGCTTTTAATAAAATTTGTACTATTTCCTTCAACCAGATAAAATGAAATGGATTGAGAATCAATTTCGTCTGGTCCTAGGTTCTTTATTTTCCGGACTCTTTTGCTTATCCTAGGTTTGGGTCATGGTTCATTTATTCGAGATGTGCCTTCAGGTTGTATTTCTACAATCCGAGAAGAGTCTTTTTCACAAAATTCTTTATTTATGGCCGACTCTGATTCTTTATCCTTAGTTATAAGGTTTTCAAAGAATTCTACATCCCGGGATTCAATAATAATATTAGACTCTAAATTTAAAAGTCTATATGCTTTGCTATTTTGTGCATATCCTACAAATGCACATCTTATCCCTCGAGGACCCAACTTGGTTCTCTTAGGATCCATGTTTTTGTAATATGCCACACACCCCCACACCTTAAAATAGTCAATATTTGGTGTCATGCCCTTCCATACCTCATATGGAGAAATTCCACTTTTCTTTAAGGGAATTCTATTTATTATGTGACAAGCGGATAATAAAGCTTCGCCCCACAAATTGAAAGGTAGTTCGGAATGCAATAACATGGCATTCATCATTTCTTGATATGTTCGATTCTTTCTTTCTGCTATGCCATTTTGTTGTGGTGTTCTAGGTGCCGAACATTCATGTATTATACCATGTTCTTCACAAAATGCATCAAATTCAGTAGAGAAGTATTCACCGCCCCTATCACTCCTAAGGACTTTTATACTTCTACTTAATTGATTTTCCACTTCTGCTTTGTAACTCTTAAAGGCATTAAAAGCCTCATCTTTATGCTTTAAGAGATATACATAAGTGTATCTAGAACAATCATCAATAAATGTAATGAAATATCTATTTCCCCCACGGGTCAACATGCCATTAAATTCGCACAAATCTGAATGCACAAGATCAAGCAGATTTGTATTTCTTTCAACACTTTTGAAAGGTTTCTTAATCATTTTTTATTTAACACATAATTCACATTTATTGAAATCTTTGATATTACATGATATCAAGCCAAGTTTAATTAGTCTCTTCATTGACCTAATACCAATATGTGCTAATCTATTGTGCCATAAAGTAACTGAATCAAGCATGTAAGCAGAATTAGAAATTTCATTAATCATGTTATCAGTAATACATAGTTTGATCATTCCTTCAGCGGAATATCCTTTTCCAACAAACACACCATTACGGGTCAAGATAAGTTTGCCCGATTCATACACAGATTTAATACCCGGTTTTCCCAATAAATCCCCACTAACAAGATTCCTATTCTTATCTGGGACATGAAGCACATTAACAAGAGTAACTTTCTTTCCAGAAGTGAAGTTGAGTTCGACCGTTCCGGTTCCAACAACTTTGGATCGCACTTCATTTCCCATTTGTACTTCTTGTCCATCATTTGCCTCAGAATATGTTTTGAATGCAGCCCTGTCATATGAGACATGAACCGTGGCACATGTATCATACCACCAGCCTTGGACTTTGCCTTTGATTGCCATAATTTCGCTCACAGTAGCAATTATATCATCATTAGCATTCACTGCATTGATCTCCTTTTTTGATTTATTGTGCCTGCAATCTCGAGCATAATGTCCAGGTTTTCCATATACAAAGCATCCATTTTTCGGACCCTTCGGACCACCGAAGTTCTTGAACTTGGTATGTTCCTTTTTTGGTGCGATGTGACTTTTCTTGACATCATGTTTTTTCTTTTCCTTTCTGGTGACAGCATTGGCTTTGGAAAGACCCGCAGATTCTGATTTTTCCCTCTCCTTCGATTCCTCCTCGATTCAAAGATGCTTCTGGATTTTCTCCAAGGAAAAGTCATCAGAACTGTGCAACAGTTTCTTTTTATAGCCTTTCCACGAACTTGGTAACTTCGCAATGATTGCACCAACTTGAAAGGTTTCAGGAATGTCTATTTTCACCGCTTTGATTTTGTTCACCAGGACTTGCAATTCGTGCACTTGAGGAAGTATGGGCTTGGAATCTATAAATTTAAAATCAAAGTATTTAGAAATTAAGAACTTTTTCGTACCTTCTTCTTCGGCTTTGAATTTAAACTCCAGGGAATTCCATATGTCTCTAGCGGACGGATTGTCTGTGTATAAGTCGTATAGGCGGTCAGATAGCGTGTTCAGAATATGCCCACGGCATAGTAATTCGTCCTCCCTTCGCAGCATGCGCTTCTTCTTGAGTTCGTCAGAATCATCTTCAGTTGGTTCTGGAATTGGTGTCAGATTGGGATCCAAGACGTAGTGAACCTTGAGTGCAGTAAGCAGGAACGTCATCTTGTCTTGCCATCTGGTAAAGTTGTTTCCATCGAAGCGATCCAATTTGACAAGGTCCTGATTCATAACTTTGATACTTGAAACAGCAGCGTCGGAATCCATGATACAAATACTTTTAAGATTGTTAGATAATCCTTCTATGTCGAATGGATCCAGACTGAATCGTGAACGAAATCACTTTCCTTAAAAGTATTTCAAGCACACTCTCAAATTGTCTTAGAGTTGGAACGGCCTGAATACCCAGGATAAGTCAGCCTTTTTCTCGAAACTGCACAAGACTGGTGAAGTTTCGAATGCAAGGAAAACGTTGGAATTATATGGAAGAGGATTTCAGAATTTTGGAGTGTTTGATTTCGAATTATCAATCATATATTTATAGCCATGCATGTGTCTTTTCAGAAGTTTGCAATTCTTCATAAACACACTCTCTAATGAGCATTTGCAATGGTTCAAATAAAATGATATGCACCAATTCATGAAGTGTCATGTATTTTGAATTCAAATTCAAAATTCAAACTCTAGGCAACGAATGAAATCTGGAGCTATAATTAAAAATAAATTCGCAGTATGGCCGGAGCGCCACCGGCGCCGCCTCATTAACGCCGCGAATAGCCCGATTGCTCCGATGCGTCGTGCCGTCTACAAGCCGCCACTAGCGCCTCTACGCCCCCGGTTCCGATTCCGGTTCCGGTTCCGGAGCCGGTGTCGCCGGTGGTGACACCGGCGAGGGGTGTTTTGTATGAGACAAGTGACATAAGTTTTGGCACCACCACATATGACTATGTGGCTCTTTATCCTCTTTGGCTCTTTTGGAAATTACATTGTTCCAAGTGCCTTATAAATGCTATTTAATTTTACTCCTCTTCCAATGTGGGACTAAGCATTTATTGTCAATTAAATATAACACCCACTTTGTCATTTTGGAACAACATTAATGGAAATAAAATATTATTTCCAACACTCAATACGTCACAACAAACTTCGCCCTCCCTAAATTGACATCATATATCCTCTATTTTTCTCCCAACTTGTTTCCATTTTCAACCTCCATTCTTCAATAAAAGCAACGTCAGGTTTCATTCACGAGGAAGATCACTAAAAAAAACTCAAGCCTCAAACTTTCTGCAACGAATTCTCTCCCTAACCTCATGAACCTCCTCCAACCCTTTTCTGTTTTCATCAAATTGCACACAACCAAACAAAACCTTCAATATTGCCAAGACCCATAAAACCAGAAATCAACAGAACATAATCAAAGATTGAGAGATGAGAAGAAGATTGAAATGAAACGGAAGGAGGAGAATGAGATAAATCAAACCCATACCTCCTAATCCGAAATAGAATTTGAGGATCTATACACGAGTGAATCAAAGGTTGGAAACTCTTGGCCATGACGTTTTGCTTTTTGAAACCGCATCCAATTTCCTCCTTCGTGGCTTGTGATTCTTCTTATCGAGATGAAACTTTTAAAGTTGATGGAACCTTTCTGTGTCTTTCTTTCCCATTTGACCATGCGACTCTTTTTTTATTTTTCATCGCTTAATGTGCATTTTTGTCTTATGAAGCTGATGTTAGATTGGGCTTTGAGTCCCGATTGTTTTTTTTGTGCACCTTTTTTGTTACCCGTGCCATCGTAAGTGAATGGAGATGATGGGCTTTGTTGAGCCCACATGATTCTCCCTTTTCTCATCCACAGCTTCTTAATCCATTTTTCACCCCCCAAAGCTTTTTAGTTTAATTAATAGTTTGATAGAATTTCATTATTATTAATCATGTTTGTTAATATTTTAATGATCCTTTTTATCTAATGTTGTTAATCATTTTGTTAACAATCTCTTTTAATTTTTGCTAAATTCATTGTTAGAATTTTTGTCACATTTTAATTATCTTCAATTTTATTCACTTTATTTCATTTTATTCATGGTCGATGAAAATCTAAAGTTGTGGATGGTCAATTTATCAATTAAATTCCATGATTAGGATAAAACCACCTTCTTTGCTAAACTTTCTCATTTTACTTTAAATTCTCTTCTATTTTTAATCTCATTCTCGATCGATGAAGTCTTTAGATTCATAAATATTGATTATTAAGGTTGTTAACATTCATTATTTCAAATATGTAGAAAATGATCATCGAGATCATTTTCTATACTTTGAGATCGTGATAGGTTACCTTTGATTAATTAACACAAGTTTGTGATTAAGGCGAGATCATTCACTTTTTAGTCTGTGTGACACGATTACATTGGGAAATGATCCTCAATGTCATTTCTCCATCGTGTTTTTAGTACAGATATCAACTTGCGCGACCTTCTATAGTTTGATCTTCGTCATAGATCGAGCTACGACGGTTTAGCGCTACATTTCGTCCCGATTCAATTCAAATCGACTAATAACTAACTTTACTTTTCGTCAATGTACTCCTGTTTTATTTTCAGTCATTATATCTTGATTATATTATCATTGTTCATATACTTGTTAATATCATCTTGATTATACTATTGTGAATATTATCTTGATTATATCGGTATATATCGTACCATATTATTTATATTGTTCATATCATATTCATATTGTTCATATCTTATTCACATTCTTCTCAAAAATACATAACAACTATTGTAACAATAAAAACCTAAATTAGTGGAGTGTTGGTTACTTTTCCGATCAACGGAACTTGGACTTTATCAAAAACCCTAACTTGGAGCTTTTGTCTAACTCTTTCTCAAGGCTTAGTTTAGGACACGTTGCACATACACGACTTCCTCTTGGGCTACCTGACAATGAACCATTTTATTTCGTGCAATCCCGTTTAACTTACCTGTACCCCTATCCCATTCTGATGTACGCATTCATATTTTGATTTGATTGTGGTTTATCTTCTAGGAGCACCCTTAAGGACTAGCGTAGACTAAACTGTTTTCAAACTAATTCTCGATTCATCATCGAGCCATTTTCAAACACCCTCCGTAAGTCGAGTGCTCGTACGCATTCGCCATCAACCTATCACACACACTTTCATATTTCATCGTGGTTTCATTATTAGGAACACCCTCAAGGACTAGTATCATTTCTCACAACCTAACCCTCGATTCATCATCGAGCCGGTTCCACTTTCAACCAAAATCTCGACTCGTCGTCGAGCCATTTTCAAACCAACTTCCATTCCACCACGGTTTTGCATGCAAATACAATCAAACCCTTGATCAAACGTCAGGTGGCTTTTCTCAATCAAACTATCAAAACAATTAACAATTATCTAACTCTTTTCAAGGTGAACAAGAGGGGGATTGAGCTTTTGATCTCTCTTCAGTTTTTTAGATGCGAGGTATCTTACTCGCGTGTGAGCAATTGACGCCTCTAAAACATTTCCAACTCGACAACATTCACCTATCTTCCAACCACTCATTATTCAAAACACCATTCAAACACAACTTCTTTTCAAGTTGAAAAAGAGAAAGAGTCAAGTATTTGACTTATTCTCCTGATTACTTGGGCCTGAAGAGCTTTTTTAAGCTTCGAGTAATCGTCATTCGTACCTAACTTCAAACCAATTCAACCATTCTCTTTCCGTGGTCGTCTCCACGAACTACGGACGCTCTGATTCTTCATTCTCGTCTGAATGTAAGATGCTTAGGTACAAGATTGTGATGATCTTGGTGAGCTACCTTCCCTCAATCTTCCTTTTTCCCTATCCTTTCCCGTTGCCGAACTACGAGAGCTCTAATTTCTTATTCTCGTTCGAATGAGCATACGTAGGGACAAGGGCCCCAATCCTTGTCGAGCACCCTAATATTAAACCACCCCTTTCTCCCTAGCATCTTTATCCTTTTATCGTACTATTTTGCATTTACCATTAATGTGAGGGCAAGGCTTCTCATACTTAGCTATACTTGATTTAATGATGTCAAAACTTACATAGGTAGAAAAATGTGCTTTGGACAATATCATCACTTTATGGGGAGGAGACCTTGAGACTGTCTTAAAATTCTCATTGTGCATCTCATATTATCTTGTGTTTATTAACTTCTATTGTAGATTCCTAATTGTACTTGCTTGCTTTATGAATACATGACTAATGGTTTTTATTTTAGTAGCGAATATGTTATTCCTTTGAGTGTCTTTCTATTTATGCACTTATACGCCTTCATTGACTGCATTATATGTGAATTTTTGTTGATGTCTAACCTGTTGCAAATTGCTTGAATGTGCTTATCTCTTTATATAATATGCAAACATTAACCTCTGTCTTCTTTCTTTTTGATGTTGTCACAGGGGGAGAAGAATATCAAGCAGAAACATCACTTTTATAAGAATTATCGACCATACAGATTGTGTATAGAAAAATGCATGGAGTAAGGGAGAGGATGATATAATGCATTGTACACCAAGTTTCTACTGTTTTTCCATCATAAAAAAGGGGGGGTATGTGAGGGAAAAGCTCCTCATACTTAGATATACATGTTTTAATGATGTCAAAGCTTACATAGGTAGAAAAATATACTTTGGGCGGTATCATCATGTCACATATGCATACCTTATTTATCTTGCGTCAAACATTGGTCAAAACATGATTAGGTACATATAGAAAAAGTACAGTATGTGTTCCATATAGGTTTGATCATGTTGGTCTAGCTTGGGATATGTTGGACTATCTTAAAAGTAGCTAAATACATGGAAAAAATGCATTTTTGCATATTCTGAGTCTTCCAGTCGACTCATAGACTGTTCAGGTCGACTCACACAAAATTCATTTTTCATGGATTACTCTCAGGAGTGCTCGCGTCGACCCTCCGGTCGACTCATACTGTGTTCATTTCTGTCTGTCTAAATTTGCATCCTTTGCGTCGACGCATGACCTGTTCTGGTCGACGCAAAGTGTTATTTTCTGCATAATTTGAAAATTGGGAGAGCTCAAGTCAACCCTCCCCTTTCTGTAGGTCGACCGCTCGCACGTTTTTACTTAAAAGTCTGTTATGTGAAACTGTCAAAGTGTTTGTTAAGTTAGTTAATTGGTTTTACACTTGCATATATATTGAGTCGGCTTATTCTTCAACAACCAACAAGAAAAGTGAAAATATACATTGATTTTATTCTCACCATCTTCATCCTCTTTCTTGCATTTTCTCAACAACTACACATAATTATTTTTGTCGTGTATTCTGTATTATTGAGATGATAACGTCCAAACATAGGATTGGTGTAATTAGGTTTGGGTTGAGAAATCAGTGAGTTTTTCTTGAATAAAACTCTTAGGGTTTTTTCCTCCAAGAATCTTGGATTTTGAGGTTTTTTGCACTAATCGGTCCATCATAAATTCAACCAAGCGAAGGTAATCAAAGAAAAGGAGGTTGTGCCGGTTTAGTAGCGGTAACTGGAAGATTTTGATAGGAATATTTGGGTTCAAAGTGTTGGTGATTGAAATCAGTCGGACAAGATTTGAAGACCATAGGGTTGTTCAAAGGGTGTGCCGTAATCGGAGGTTTACTCATCACGTTCGAAGGACTTGATTCAGCTTGAATCAAGGGAAGAGAAGGAGTAGGCTCTGCATCAACAATTGGGTTTGATTGGTTGAATTTTATTCTTCTCTTATAAACATTTCCAAATAGGATATACGGGTCTCAATTCTATATTTAGAATTGAGGGCAGACGTACCCCGAGGGAGGACGAAGGGGGAACTACCTCAATAAATTGGTGTTCTCGCTTTATTTTTCAATTGCTTAATTCCTGAGTTTGTATGCAAACAATTTAGTTGATCAAAAGTATGATGTGTGTAGTGTTGAACCATTTTTAGAAACCTTATTACAATCCTTGATTGTAATTGAATAATACTATAGCACTTCACTCACATTTTGAAATTCACTTGTGGTGCCTTGCAAACCAAGTATTCGACTGATTGTGTGAATACAAACAACTGTGTTGTCTTTTCAATTGGTTTTATTTTACACGCATTGGAAACTGTCCAACCTTATAGTGAATAAAATCTAGTTGATGTGTGTTCAAATTAGTGATTCTAAATCTCGTCTTTATCGGATTCCATAGGCTTTGCGTATGTCGTAACACGAAAATGTACCTGCTTCTTGTCTTTTGCATAAGCATGTGCATTCGCATCATTGGCATACATATTCACACTTTTTCTCTGTGATTTTTGTTGCAGGAATATTCAGGTTTTGCAAGTCCTATTAATCACATCCTCTCAAAGATATCACTTCATCAAAACAAGTACAAAATGAAGGTTTCTATGCCTATTCATCAAAGCAAAAGGTCGAAAATCGGAACCGTGGCCACAACACCATTTTTCAAGCAAATATGCAAGTTTTTCCTGAAGTAACTGGTTACCCATTTTCTAGGCAAAACAGAGTAACCGGTTACCTTGTGTAAAAATACAGTTT